CTTCACCTGTGGAAGGACTGTTGAGTGACTATCTGTTTGGTGATCGCTATACAATGTTCTTCGACTCGAATGACCCGTCGATGATTGACACTGGGCATCAGAATGATTGGGCAGACATCGAACTGCCTGATGGCACTGTCAAGAGGTGTGATGAACCGCGTGCAGCTACTGGTCACAAGTGGGTTGGATACACACTGTTCGTTCCCCTCGATCGACCAAAGGCAGGTGAGAATGAGCAGGAGACTGAAGACAAGAATGCGGTGAAACCAAAAGGAGTGAAGATCCCGAATGAGCCCTCGGAGAATGAACGGAGACTGCATGAGTTGACTCATCTCCCCTATCGTGACTGGTGCGAGCACTGTGTACGATCAACAGGGAGACAGAATTCAGTGGCTCACTGCTTGGCGTGCGGTCAGGGGGGTGAAAACACAGCAAGTCAACAACAGATGCTATAAGTTCCCCGTCGCACACCAAAGGACAGCGTTATGTTCGTGGTAGACTGAGTCGAAAGCCTTGTGTATGTCCAAGCAGAGTCACAACAACGCCAAGGTAGCACTCAACTGCAGCTAAATGAAGGCAACACAAGGCGTTCTCACGTCCCCCATCTAGGATCCTGGCGAATCGTGGTGCACTATGGCTGTACTGAGGCTCTGACGGACGAAGCAAACAATAACAATGTCACAGCGACCCAATTAGCTAAGGGGCAACTCATCTGAAGCAAACAACTTCCTCAGTGCAGCACAGATCAGAGTGGTCCTGCTCAGGTGTTCAGCTTTGCCCGGCTTTCACTAGAGCTCGCTGTTCTGGGTAGGCTGAATCGGGTTATGGGAGAAGTAAACGTCCCCCCATCGTAGGCCGAGGTGGTCGTGGAGTCGTGGATGTGCTCTGCCAGCATGCGTCGTTGGCGGTGGCTGTCGTCTGACATGTCCCCCGGCGGCCAGCGAGTCCCCCATGCTCTGGGCGACGTCAGAGTTGGTGAGCACTCCGCGTCCCCCATTCCATGGTGGCGGTCTGCATCCCACCACTGCTGAAGTCCCCCCACTTGGCCTTTTTCTTCGGCAAGGGTCAGTCGCGCGATGGCGCGCACCAGCTGCATCGCAGCTTCTTGGATAGTTCGCCGTGCCCCCGGCGTCCAGGAGGGCGCGGCATTTGCCATGCTGCGTACTGTCTCCACGTGGCGGAACCATTCGGGCACCGTTGCCGTCGTCCGCCCAGTGCCGACTTCTGAGCTCGACTCTGCGGGTTGCTCGTGAAGGGTCCTCTGTGGGTCCCCCCATAGCAGGTCCTCCAGCGCGTCTGTAACAGCCAAGAGTCGCGCCCAGGTCCCCCTCTCCAGGTTGCCGTGGAGCACGTTGGTGATGGACTCGCGCAGGTGCGAGCACCGGCGGCAGCTGCACGTGGAGAAGGAGACGTCTCCAGCCATCGCAGTATGTCGGCGACATGTGGTGCTAGGGTCGCGTAGTTAACATGGCATGTGCTCTGCTGTAGTTGCATGTTTGCGATGTTGCGTAGCTGCTGCACTGCTGAGTGAGCTGTGTTGGTGGCGCTTGTTTCGGGGGAGGCAGCTTGGCCAGTTGGGGGGGCTGGGTTCCCCCGCATGTCAGGCTCTTCGAGGTCTTCCGCTGTCTGTGAGTCTGGCCAAAAATTGAGCAGGGCTTGAAAAACTCCCTTCGCCCGTGCTGGTGCTGGCCAGCTCTGTTTGCGCCTAATTTGCATGAGGCTCTGTTCCACGCGTTCCCAGGATCGCATAGGCTGGGTCCCTATCGAGGTGCTGGGTGCAAGTGGCTCAGTGGGAGCTGAAGTGTGGTCCCCGCGCTATCCAGGCTGGGCGTGGGTGGGTATGGTTGGCCTGGGGGGGGGTATGACCGTGTGGTGCGACACTCGTCACACTCATTGTCTGAGGCTAGGGTGATGTGAAGGGTGCGGGCTGCTGCGCTTGGTGGGGGCGGCTGGGCAGGGTAGAGCGCGGCGTTGGTCTGCATCATGTAGTTGTGGTCCCCCTCATCGTGTGTCGGCCACAAAGTAGGGCGGGTTTCAACCAGCGGCGGCTGCGTCTTGCTCTGTGTGTGTGGAGCGGATGTGGCGACGGTGGTGGTGGTGGTGGCAGTCGTTGCGCAGCGCGGGGGTGGTGGCAGTGGTTGTGGTTCCCGCGCTGGTGTCTGCAGTGGTTGTGGAGGTGGTAGGGGGAGCCTGCTGTGGTTGCTCGTCCGGTTGGGTGGTCTGCTGCTGTGGGTGCTGTGGTGAGCTGCGTATGGTGCGGCCATCCCAGAGCATTGCAGCGAGGGGGGTGAGGTGCTCAGACATGGTGCTGGGTGTGCTTTGGTCTGGCGGCAGTCGGTCTTGTTGACCGCTGCAGAGCCAGCGGCCGTCTTTGAGGGTGGGTTGTGTGCTAGCGGCAGGGTCGGCTCGTGCTGCTGGACGTTGCGGTCGTGGCCTGGGTAGTAGCTGTGTGGGGGCTCCTCCATTGGGGTGTGTGGGTCCCCAGTTTGTTTCTGTGTTTGGTCTGGCTGTCCCCGTTGTTGGGTTTGCTGCTGCTTGTCCCCGGCTTGGATCGCCTGCGCACGTTTGTCACGGCGGGCTTGGATGTCGGGGTTGAGCGCTTTTGGCATGTACTCCACACGAATCATCCATCCATGGACGGGTGTGTAGTCAAAGAGAATCTTATCTCCTTCCTGGAGGAGCATGGCGCCTTGTTCGTGTTGTTCGAGTGTGGGTGCGTCCATCACCAGGAAGAGCCAGTGGTAGGGGGTCATAGGGCTGAATACCCCGATAACTCGCAGGAGAAGTGGGGTGCCGTGGTGCTTGTGCCTTGCTCCCCCTGTACCACTGTGCGAGGGGGGGCCTCGTGGCTGGGTGTCAGGGTCTGGGCTCGGCTGGACTGTCAGTTGCCAACACCCATTGGTTAGTTGCAACATCTGGCCTTGGCTGTTCCCCGACAGGGGCACCTCTGGAGGGAGGTTGGATATGGCGTCCTCGACGTCGTCGGGCAGGTCGCTCATGAGGTAGTTCATAAGGTCTGCATCCAGTGGCTGTCCGAGCTGGCAGGCTGGCGGGCATTGGACTCAGGTGTCGCCTGTTCCCGGGCTGTGGATCCGTGCTGGATGCGGGTCGGTTGTCACGCGAGAGTGGCTTTGCTGGCACGGGTGGTTGCTGTGGCGAGGTGTGCGATGACTGGTCTGTCGGTGGTTCGGGGTGTTGGGGCGCATGGCCACCGGCTTTGGGTTCGTTGTCTCGCGGAAGCAAGTGGCGGTTGAGCAGGTCTTTCCAGCGTTCCCGGTCGTGAGTGTCTTGCTTGCTGCCTGGTGCTGGTTGGGTCGCTTGGTTGCGGGGGTGGCTCGGGTCTGTCGTGTCGTCAGCGGGAAGCTGTGGCTTATAGAGGATTCCCCAGCCGGGTCCCCTTGATCTTGCGGAGGGGGTCTGCGCTGCTTGCGGCCAGCCTTGTTGTGTTGTTTGTAGACATATTTGCCTGGTGCCTCCGGTCCAAAAAGCTCGTGGCTTGGTGGTAGGCAGTGCAGGGACTGCGGGTTCCTCGGCGTCTGTCGTCTGTGCAGGCTGGGATTGTGTCACTGGCGGGCAGGTCGCCCGTGGCTGTGGCTGTGGCTGTGGTTGTGGTTGTGCCTCGGTTGTCTGCGATGGGTGTGGTGGGTGTGGCTGCTGGTCCGGGGGAAGCAAATTGCCCAGCGGGACTCCCACGGTGGTGGAATGATGTGAGGTGGGTAGGTGGGTTCGGTCCCCACGGCATGCGTGGCGGCGGGTTCGCAGCTGGGCAGTTGCCGAGGTGTGGTGGGAGGGGTGTCGCTGGGTGAGTGCCATGGGTCTGTGTCCGGGTCGTATGGCGGTGGATAGCGGGCTGTTCCGAAACCCGTTGGGTGACGGGGTGGGCAGTGGCTGCTGCTTGCTTGTGTGGTCGGTGGCTGCATTTGTGGCTGGTAGGCCTGGAGTGGAGGTTGCTGCAGTGGTACCGCTGCTTGGGGCATGCTTGGCGGGGAGTGGGGGGCGGTGCTGTTGCTGTGGAGCAGCGCCCGGCAGCGCTGGCAGTGTCTGCTGCGGTGGGAAAGGTTGCGTGGGTTGTTGTGGCTGCAGCATGTATTGCGGAGGGGGCATCGTGATTTGCGGGCCATGCTGTCCCCCTTGCACTGTGGGTTGGAGGGCGAGTGCGAAACCGCCCCAACTTGTCACGGTTGCTCCGTTTGCCGAAGGGTGGGTCGCTGTCCAGGCAAACTGAGTGGGTGGGAGGGGTGCATATCCTCCTTGCGGTCCGAAGGTCTCTCTCTCTCTCTCTCGTTCTCTCTCTCTCTCTCTCTTGCTTGCTTGCTTGCTTGCATGGCCTTTGGGGACAGAGGGTACCCCCTGAACCTCTCTCTCTCTCTCTCTCCCTCTCCCCCTGTTCTTCTTCTTCAGCGGGTGTTAGGAGAACGAGTGTGCACTGACTGAGGTCCCGGCCCCATCGAGCGCAGCCTTTGCAGCTGCCGCCTTCTCAAGGCAAAGTCGCAGCAGGACCTGTCGAGGAAAATGCGCCCGCATTTTTTTGGAACACTGTGACACTGCGGGGTCGCTGTTCGAGGACACACCCTCACGATTTTTAAGCCCAAAACTCTAAAACAAAAATCAGATCGTTCATCTGGCAAGTTTCTGAAACTCATCGGCCTGAACAAAATCGCAACCCTCGCGTCCGCATGCGTCCGCATCACAGCTGAAGCAGGGCTAAAACACTGCCGCACAGTGCTGCGCAAGTGTGGCGCCTGGAATTGCTGCCTGCGGCTGAGCCAAGCAGCGTCACACCAGAGGAGGTTCACAACGCTGAGTATCGGGCAGTGCATCACTTTTGTCTTTGCGGTCCAAGTCTTGAAGCCAGGAAGCCTGACAGTCCATTCGTCACGAAGTGATTGGAGCCACAACTGTGGCGCCTGCTGTTGCAAGGCGTCCTCGAGGGCTGTAATCTTGATGAAGGCCATGTGGCTCCTGCAGATCTGCGCCGCGAGCGGCTCTTTTGGAGGCGCAGCGCAAGAGGCGCCTTCCCGCCGAGTCTTCCTCGCGAGTCGCCGTTTCCTGCGAAGCGAAGCGCAGCGTCTCAGCGCCGTCTCAGCGCCCCCTCCGCGAAGGCCTGGGCCTCCTCGAGAGCCTCGTCGACGTCCTCGCCCATGCGCGCCTGCAGCAGCCGCACCTCGACTCGGAGCTTACGCCCTCCTTGCACGGCGAAGCTAGAGACAAGTGCATCGTGCTGTTCCAAACGTGGCCGCCCCCCCCCCCCCTCAATGTGGTGAGGCGTTTCTGTCCCTTCTTTCGTTGTAAGGGCCGGAGAGAAGCCTGAGACTGATAAACGGATGACGTGCGCGTCTGGCCGGAAACCGGAAACGGGCAAGGTTTGGGGCGGCCGTGGCGCACCCCATGGTCTCAAGATAGGTCCGGCTACCGTGCCGGTCCGCCAGACTGGCCGGGCTCTCACCGCTCTTGGCTGGCTTGAGCTCTTCAGCTCGTGGTGAAAGTACTGGCGGCGCTGATGTCTTCTCTGGTGCTCCCTGTGGACGCCGAGTGGCGTGTGCATCAGCACAAGCGCCCCTCTTTTGGTGGGCGCACGTTCAAGTGCTCAAGTCCCCGAAGGTCCGTCTTGGGGGGAGATGTCACGGTCTTGGGGCGGTGAGAGTTTGTCCCCCGCACTCCGGCCAACAGACCTCTCCTGACTTTCCATCGCGAACACCCCAAACGCGCATGTGCGTGCATGTGCGGCACAAGAGAAACGCACGAACAGGTCAGAAAAGCTCCAGCAGAACACTTGCACGTTTCGAGATGTCCGCGCCGAGTCGGCACACACACACACACATGCAAGCACAGTTCAGGATCATGCGGGGCCCAATGCTTTCTCTCTGGCACGCTGCTGTAGCGAAGAGAGCAGCGAGCAGGGAGAGCGCAGAGAGGAGAGACACAAAGCGGACGCGGAGCCGCCCGAGCCAAGGCTTGGCGCGGGGCTTTCTTCTGCTCCAGGGCCAACTTCTGCCGCATCGCCGTCTCCTCCCGGCTCAGCGCCGCCAGCCTCAGCGACTCAACGCCGGCTTCAAGCGCCAAAAACCCCTGCTCGCCGCTGCCGCTGCCGCCAAGAAGCTGCAGCATGAGGCCCTCCTGGCACGACGAGTCCCCTGCCGCCCTGACCCGTTTGGCCTGTTTTAACCCTTCACGTGCCTTCTGAGTGTTGAAGGTTTCCTGCAGCGCTGCAGCCTGCAAAAGGCCAAACGCGGATCCTCCCCGCCCACACAGATGAGAAAGATGGCGATGATGCCGAGGACAGTGACAACGAACGAAAAGGCAGAAGGAGAATTCGGATGGCTACGGCCCGGGCCATTTTGGACAAAATGAAAACGAACGAAAAGACAGAAGGAGACTTCGGATGGCTACGGGCCGGCCA